GTTTGACATTAATACTTCACAAGTTCTACAACAATCTTTATTCATAATTAAATCTTACAGCCACTTGTACATTATTTGTTAAATATATTTCGAAATATTTACGATAGCGTGGAAATTAAATATAAATTATCAATGTCACTATGCAATTAATCATCACAATTATTATTTCATTCAATTATATTATTTTCGTAGGATTTTTTCTTTAAATTAATCATTTCAGTATCAAGTTTTGTTTCATATAACTATTCGATCATTGCTGGATAATGGTTATATACACATCAGAGACCTGTGTCGTATTTAGGAGGATGAATGTCGTCTAGTTTTTATGTAAATCGGAAAATTGGAGTTGACATTCTGATCTTACTATGGCTCATTAAAATTGACTACAATGACATCGTCACTAAATAGCATTTAACGTTTAGAGTTTTTCCTGTAAAATTAAATTCTCTCTCGAAATTATATAGCAGCCTCCATGTAATTATCGAATCCATTAAATAACAGAAAGGTATATTTAGACAAAAGAATCAAAATGCCACTGGGATCGAATGTTAATGGCTTAAAAAATAATAAATTAAATATGTCATTTGTCCTATAATATATCTAATATACAAAATTTTTTCAATATACAAATTATCATAAATGACATTCATTGGCATTTCTCGAGTTTTTAAATTATATAAATCACATGGATACGGTTATAAGTGATAGTTAATGCGATGATTAAAACGAATGATCAATGAAAATAATTAAACAGAAAAGTGACACAGTGGGGACGGAAGAACTGTATGTAATGACGATTTGCTCCTAACGTTTGCATTCCCAAATAAATTTTCTATTCACAAAGTTACACAAAAATGTATGGATCTAATTATATCTATATGTTATACATATATTCCCACCTCTATTCTCTTAAATTTATAGCACATTAATTCGTTCTACTTTGATTATGGTCAAGTAAAAGTACTTATGCATTATTGAAATTAAAAAACATCAAAACCACGTAATTATTATTCTCCGTGTATTGAAGGGCACGTTTATTAATGACCATTGTTTTCCATCAATTGGTGCATATAAATAGCAAAAAAATAATAATTTATCCTTCAGTTTTTTTATTTTCAGTGTCCATAGGCACCTGGACGAAATATCTGACAACAAATAGTCATTTAATAATGTGAATAAAATAAAAGATAGATTATGTATTATCTTTCTATTTAGGCTTCACTTATTTTACACGGATAAATTTATGACTTGACTTTTTCATGCATGACTTTTTCATGTTTACTTCAATCGGAAAGTAATGAAGCATGTTTGTGAGTACATTTACAACACTGACAAAGCACTTTTCTCTACTTTTGTCATCTAAGAAGAGACAAAAATCTATGTTTATTATACCTATTATTATTATAAAATTTTCACATGCACATTGATTCACCTTATTTATTAAATTTTCATCTTCCAACTATTCAAGATCTGCACTGCTGTTAAAGTAATGATTGATAATCACTGCATGAATTTCCATATAATTTATGTATTCAATCACAGAGTGTTTTCTCACTTCTTCTTTCAAACTTATTCTTACCAAATTCGCACTTGCATTTTACATGT